TGAAGCCGCTCCACGAATGCAGCTGACTGATGCTATAGCTGAGCCAAGCGCAGAGTGACAAAGCGAAGCAAGCAAGTGCGACAACCGCCGTGTTCATATAGTTAAGGTATACAGTATACATAGATATATATATATACGTAAACAAACAACATCAAACAAATAAAGGCTATATGATTAGTTGTCTATGTCAAAACGCGACAGCAACATCTTGAGTTCAAAGCTCTGTTGCTGGCACTCCTGAAGTGCAACTCCTGTCCAGCCTTCCTGTCGAGCAGTGTTGTGGAGCGCAGTCTCTTGAAATTTTGCTTCAACTGTCATTCCCCAAACTAAAAAGCACAATTGTTGCAAACAAATTGCAAGCGGTTCTATTATAGGTGTTCTGGGAGGCTTTACTACTAAGCTTATCAATCTTCACAAGACAAGTACTTGTTTCCCTCGGCATGCCTCACTCTTGCTCCAGCCGTACCAGTCCAAGGAGCTTGGAGGTCCCTGCCAAGAAGCTAGAAACTAACTGAAGTTTAGAGACGTGACCTTTCTTCTGCCACGACAACTAGTGCCAGTCCATGCAGCGTCCGTCGGTGATTCCTGAACACTTTTGCGCAAGGCATGGTCTAACTGTACATCCCTGTACAATCAAGGTGCAAGCACTCCAAGTTGAACTTTTGCGAGCAAATCCAAGTTCAACGGAGGGCAAACCCCTCTCTATGCAATGGAGATGACCCATTCAAGTTCTAGCTTCTGATGGGCCTTCTACATCACAAATCAGGCACAGTACACACGCCGGCGCGCATTGCAGCTTTCCTTGTAGCTTCCTTAAAGGAAACCGATGCATGCCAAGCACCCTTCATTGCTCCTGGGCCTCTGGGGTTGGACCCACAGCTCCCTTCACGCATGTTGCAAATGCCCAATCTTCACTTGGGGCCAAGCCCTCCTTGTAGCGTCCGTAGTTCAGGCGTTCGTCACCAAAGACCTTGCCGCAATGGCGGCCATCAAAGTGCTCAAAAATTGCTTCTTCGCTTTCACAGTATGAGAGCAGCTTTGAGCTCTTGAACCTAAGAGCGATTACCTAGCAAAAAATTACTTTGAAACTCGTTAAAGCTTCCCGCACGTTCTTCCAAGGCGGCCAAACGTTTTGCTCTTTGAGGACCAGGTGGCACTGATCTGAAGATTCTGCCACCCAAGACCCTCCAGCAGCTGTTTCAGCTTTGTGGATGTGAAGGTGCCTGGCCTGAATGACTTTAAACGGCAGGATGTGGTGAAGTAGTTGCTTGCACTTGTATACTGTATTTGTGATGTGTTTTCCATGTTCTCCCTTGGGCTGGACACCTTTTGCATTTCACAAGGATGTTAGCATGCTCTAGCATGAGGTTTCTTGCTAGGATAATGCTACAAGAACACCCCTCCTTGGAACCATGCATGAACAAGAACACTCCTCCTGGCTGGTCGGAAAGCCGCTGTGTCCCGAAGGGGCACTGCTTATACACTGTAGACCCCTTCCACGAAGAGCTTCCCAGGCGCCTCTGAGGCCCGATGGCATAGTTGATGATCGCCAGTGAGCCTGGAGCTGCCAGGGGGGCCCAAGACCTCGGTGAGGAAGGGCTCAGCTTGTTCCTCCAAGAAGTCCAAGACACCCTCAATGAGGAACACGGCAGAGGCCTCTCTCTTGCAAATGCGGAACAAAAAGATGGAATAGGAATAATGCGGAAATACAAGAAAGTACATAGGAACCTAGAGAGCATGACACCCAGCCTGGCTATCAAAGCCTGCTTCAGTGAGCTTCTCTGATAACATGCCTGTATGGATGCAGAAAATTGCTAGAAGCCGGGAGAAAATGCTACTGCTAAACAAAGGGCCGACCTGCTTGGCAAAAGTCAGCAGATACGTTGACAACTGGACATAGGGAAGTGGCCCTGTTGTGCGAAAAGAAAGCTGTTTTGACAGCATTCTTTGGTGACAGTTGAACTTGGCATGCGCCCTGAGCTGCAAAAATCATGAATAATGATGCTTCCTCTTTCCATAGCAATTGCGGTGTCTCAGAGAGACGCCCGGGTGGCATGGCCAACTCGGGTGCAGGTCTGCACAGCCCGACAGTGTAGCATTGCGCAGCGCAGAGCCGAGGAAAAACAAATTCACAAATCCAGGCAGGGTGAAATGCCCTGATACAGTTCATACAACGCTCGATATACATATTGCAGCCTGAGCATCACTTCAGCTGTATCCACTTCGTAGGAGGCCTTGAACTGCTTGTAGGCATCAAGTCGATAAGGGCGAGTATCCACACCAGCTCCGAGATTCACCATCTGCGGTATCTCTGCGGTATCTCTGCTGATAAGATCATCTATAAACTTCGTGCAAACCACCGTCCACACCTCAAGAGGTGAAAACATCCACTGCAAAGCCTGTCTAGGACCAGGACTAGGACTGGGAGGGTTGTGCTCTGCGCGTGCCTTGTGAAACTCCGGCCAGCCATCAAAGCCAAACTGGCTGGCAGCTTCTCCCAATCGATCAGACATGGTCAAACCGTCTGACCCGGAAAGAGCTTTGGCAAAGGGGTCTTCAAACAAGGCGTCCTGGCCAGGTCGAGGCCAGGACCGGCTGTCTGTCACCCACAGTTGGCCTGGGTCACGTGTGTCCAGCTCTTGGCCTGCTTTCAGAAACACAGGCCAGCAGTTTCAGTTTTCTATGTTCACAGGTGTCTCATTGTGCCACACTCGTGGTAAATCTATAGTGCCTCCAATGCCACAAAAAATGCTGGTGGGTGAGCTGTTCTCTCTTCTTTGAATGCCTTGGAGCTGCCCTCTAGCTCTCATGAATCGTCGGTCCTTACGCTCAGCTTCGAGGGCTCGCTCAGCAGCAACCATGAAGGCAGTCCTCCCGACCACGCTGACCTGAAAATGGTGCCACCAGTGGCCGGTGCCTTTTGAACATGTGTGAGCCGGTAATCACAGGTAGTGACCTATTGGATCCTAGTTAGTAGCAACGTCCAACTCAACTGCTCTCTTCTCCTGATCTGGCCTCCAAATTTTTGTGGCGGCCATGAGACGTTTTGAAGTATGCGTTTACAGTGGCCTCCGCATTCTCACCAAGCAGATTCACTACCTGAACTTTCTGTTCCCTACATTCAGCGGAAACGGCACTAGTGTACAATATTGTACACGTGTACATGTAGAAATACCAGCATTGCCAAAACTGTTGTGTACAACTGCTAGTGGAGGATAGGTGAAGAAGAAGCTATTTGCGCAGCTACGTGTCCACATCTCCTGAGAATATGTGAGAAGACTTGGCGCGATGAATGCTAAGTACTCGCAAACAAGCCTTGGAATGTCCAGGACAGGAGGCAAAGTGGGGAAACCAAAGTCGCGACCAAATGTGGCGGTCACCAAGTGTGTCATTCGACCGCAAACTAAGGTCTGAAGTTTCGGCCTCCTCCAAATTGGTGACTGCCATTGAGCCAGCAGTGTTTGACATCTCGTGGCTATGGCAAATGCAAACGCACGGCGGTTTGAACTGCTGTTGAACGCTTTGCAGTCTCTGACCCCCAGTTGGCATAGTTCAAGTTACCAGCCTTGTCCCTGCCTTTTTTGCCTTTGCTCTGCTTGCCCTTGCCTCCAAACAACAAACCAAAGTGAAAGTGAATATTCACGAGGAGAATGCCCTGTATTGCACTGCATTTCATGGCTCATCAATGGCAGCTTCGACACCTTTGCCGGATGGCCACCAATCGTACGGGTTTTCCCAGCTTTGCACATGCGCGTCTCCTGAACGATTCCATGCTTGCGAGGTGAATACGTGCGGCATCTGCACCAAAATACACGTCACCTTCCGGGCCACGCCATTCGTTGTACATGTGGCCACCCTGGAGCGTGGCACGATCTTGGTCAAACATACAGCAAGGTTGCTGCAACGGATCCCCTATGCTTTTCCAAACAAATAAGAGTTCGATCAGTAGTGAAGCAACGAGGGCGAGGCCTTTCCTTGCCGTTGAAAGGTAGTGCCTCCAATGCTTCTTCCATGCTGTGTAGTGGTGTGGATATGTAGGCGGGGTCCCTATATAACTATTTCCTACGAAACATGGGGACGCACTGCGTCCAGGATGCGTTCATCAACCTGCACATCTAGCTCAACTGACTCAGGACTACATAACCTTGTCGCAAGTGTGATGCATCGTTGATGTGTACCGTGTATGATTGAAAAACTTTTCAGGTGACGTCAGTGAGGTTTGCTACATCCCGGGGCGCGGGTGAAGGTGTGCTGCGGGCTGTCGACCTCCCGCACCCCCCTAAAAGAAGTGCCTTCAGTGGCCCACCACTCGGTCCGTAGCCGGCCATCGTTGGTCAATTCTGCTGCAATCCCAGCGTAAGCACGGGTGGGGCTTCCTGTACTCACTGTGCTGGCCTCAGCACAAGGGCCCCTTGACACAGCAAAGGAATACAAGAAACAATAGGAACTTGAGAGTTCCTTGCCTTGCAGGAGATTTGTGGAGATGTAAGCCCAATCAGAATCTGAGCTGCACCACTGAGAGTCTGACAGCTTGCCCTGAGCTGAAGATATCCTAGGTGCAACACGATTGAAGTGGCTGCTCATTCTTCTATCTGTCCTTGCCGAGCTGCTGGGTTCTTTACCCAATCGTCTGCATCATAAGCATCATAGCTTGTGGAGTGTTGTGGTGGTGCATAGTAGCCTTCAAGCACAGCTGAGGCATAGCGGCATAAGGATGATCTATAATGGAGGCATGGCATGGGAATGCCAAAATGGAGGCTTGGCATGGCATTGCATTTCTGTGTCGAAATCCAAAGTCCCTGCCTCTGCTGTCAAAGCTCCTAGATGTGCCAGAAAGACGTCCGTCACTGGTGAGCTCTGCGATGACACCACCACATTCTCAGCGGAAAAAATGCTATGAAAAACTGCTGGCAATGAAAGGTAATGAATTCTACAGGGTGCGTGCGGCAAACGAATTCTCTGCATCCAAAAGGATGAGAAGGTATCTCTGTATTTAGCTCTCTCTCTCTCTCTCCCTCTCTCGCCATCGCCCTCTCCACCCTCAAGGCTCCCTTGGTTCCGCTATCCTTTTTTCCTTTTCTCTCTCTCTCTCTCTCTCTCCCCATGAATGTGTGTCAGTTGAGCTCGGCTTCCATGTTTCACAACTTACAACAACAGCACTAGTTGGACCCGAGCGACGCTTGCGCTCCTGTGGGTATTCCGCAACCTGCATCCGAATGGAATGGAAACCAAAAGTTAAGAGGAGAAGGAGATGTCTATAGTGAGTCACTAGACTAAAGGAAGCAGCAGGGTCCTGCTTGCCCTTGCCGCTGCCCTTGCCCTTTTCAGGGTAGTAGCCACTTGCTCGTGGGAAACTGTCCTGCATCTGCTAGCCGTGCAACGATGAGAATGATGAGAATTGTCAAACACTTCTAATATGGCCGTAAGAAATCAAATGAACCTGACTGGTCACACTTCCGCCACTTTCCTTGCTAGTTGGATCCATTTATGCCTTATATAATATATACCTCCTACAACCGGTTGAGGTGTGGCTTAGGGAGCCTGGTGATAGGACCTGCCAATAAAGTAAGTTCTCTGTCAAGCTCTCCTGGGCCCACGGCTCTCCACTGGAGAAGTTTCGGAATCCTGCGCAAGTAACTTGAAGCTTGGTCAATATGGTCAATGAGCTTCCTTCCCACTCTTGCACCATCAAGGGCTGGCACAAGTAGCTGTTTTTCAATGCGCTTGCGGGGGCGGGGAGCCAGCAAAGTGCGACAAAGCTGGTGTGCTGCCTACAAGTAGTGGAAAAGGATGACAAGGAAACTTGATTAGACTCGACCGATTAGACCTATTCAAAAGGATGTCTCTGTGTGGAGGCGTCCTCCATACATTCCAGAGGCCGGGGCATGTTGGGCTGGTGCAAAGCCTGTTCAGGACAACTGTGATGCTGCCAGTTGAAGCAGCAGGCTCCGGGCGCACCGTGATGTCGAGCTGATGGACCGACTCTCGATCTGAGGTCGGCCTTGGCTTGAGACTCTTGGGCCTATTTCAACTTCATTCTATAGCTCAACTCCGCAAGCCAGGTTTGGCAGGCCAAAGCTCAGCATGTCGCCATTCCAGCTACATGGGGGCTTCATCCGGCAGGCCGTGCTTCAGCACGCTCAAGAGTGTGACGGAGTGCGAGTGTGGATGCTAGCAGTTGAGAAAACTACACCTTGAACATTTGTGTGGAAAAAGATGCAGGCCCAAACAACCAGGTTCTGCAACTTCAACCATGACCCATTACCCTTGAAACCTTACTACACATAACGACGCAACTAATGAGCGTCCATATGTGTCAGCAATGCTGAGTTTGGATCTCGAGGGTCTGGGGCCACAAAGGCAGCTTGCAGCTTGAATGGCGCATCCTTAGGTCCTGTCCCCTGCCTTTGACTACTACATCAGTGCAGCATTTTTCAACTTTTTCACACCGGGAGTCCCGGGAGAGTGCCTACTCAAACAATCCCAAAGGGATCTGAAGACATATGGGAATACCGGCCAGCTGCGTTCAAAGGCGGGCTGTCGGCGTCCCAAAGGCCTCGCAGGCAATGCAGCAATGCCGCAAGAAAATGAGATGAAACATGTTTAAGTATGAAGTCATAGGCTTCATGTCAACCAAGCGTGCTGATACCATCTGATACCTAGATCGGTGTCCATCCAAGAGCGCTCCTGGGGAGCAGGTCCCTTGTCCAGCCGCGAATGATGAGACCTGCAGGCGCAGATCTCAGAACATCCAAAGCCAAAGGCAAACCAATGTAGTGCATCAGATGAGGGGAAAACACTTTGCATGATTTTTACATGCGACTCATACCTGAGAATATCAGACAAATCTCATGCAAGCAGTGTGCACTGGATAGAGCAACAATCCTAGTAGCTTCTTGCTCCTAGTAGTCAGGCCAGGAGCCCCTAGCAGCGTCCTTGCTCCTAGTAGTAAAGCCAGGAGCCCCTAGTAGCGTCCTTGCTCCTAGTAGTAAGGCCAGG